TGGAGAGAGATACGGTCACGCAGGTAGGCTGGTCTCAAACTGTTTAGGACTTTATAGGTAAGACCCTGCACCTTGAATTGGGACCGGAAGATGAACGGCAGCCAATGAAGCTCCTTAAACAGGGGGGTTGACCGCTCCCTGTAAGTCGCTCCAGTTATTAATCTGGCTGCCGAGCGTTGGACGAATTGTAATTTCCAAGCCGTCTTCAAGGGTAGCCCCGCGTAGAGTGCATTGCAGTAGTCCAGTCATGTCTTTTTCTTTCCACTTAGTAACATGTACCGTCCCGTAGTGAATTAAATGAGTTGTGTGTTTGAAGATTTCAGAGTAGGAAAGAAGAAAGAGAGATACTGTGCTGTCGCACGCTGGGCCTATGACAATGTCTGTTTACAGGACGTGCTTTCTGTATGTCCAACAGGACGCCGGGGTGCCTCAGCTAAAAGGTCCCATAGATTTCCCAACACAAAGTTTTGTAGAGACTCAAAGTAAGTCCAACAAAGTTCTTTATTAAGGCTTAAACTGTTCCTTTCTTCTTTAGGGAAACCTTCCAACCTCTCCTTGGGCAATCTTTCTTTACCCTGCTGGCATGAGGCCCCAACTCCCGGCTCCAAACTGCTTTATGGATAGCCCAAGTGACCCTTACCAGACAAGGTCTCTGTAGATCTGCCAAGCTGGTGTCCTGTAGATTTGCCCCACGAAGGCCGTGGAACCATTCTTTTATTTTCCAGCAAAGCTGGCTGTATTCCCCCAGCAAAAGCTGTTGAACTGTAACTTTACTCCCCAGCAAAGCTGGCTATAGATCTATTTCTTTAACCCAAGCAAAGCTGTAAGAAGTGAAGCTTTTTGCAGGTGGGACAGAGAAAGCCCACACGTCCTGCTGTAAGGCTCCAAACTGTGAGACTGAACTAAAAGTCCCCTTTTCCCTCCAAACCTGGGGAAAGGGGTGGATCTAAAGGCTCTAATGATGATTGATGGGTTGTTGGCCCTATGACTGCAACCTGGGGAAAGCTACCCAATTGCAAAATGCATGGCCCAAATAGATTCATGCAAACTAACAGTGCAAGAAAAGGAAATTCAAACTCATGGCACAGGCGTGCCAGCACAGAGGCAGATTGGCATGTGCTTTTCTTCCTTGCATGCACTATGGCTTTGAAGGTGTAATGACCACAGCCTCAGCTCTGCAGCCAGTGTAAGCGACTTGATGTGGGTCCCAAACAGTAGCCCCAGCCTGGTCCTGATATGCTGTGCAACCGAATGACCCCAAAGAGCAAAACCCAGGCAGGCTCCTTCTGTGTTCAATGCTCAGCGCCACCAACATGGCTTATCAGCCGGAGCGTGAGGAGTGGAAGAGGGACCCACAGCGTGTGTTGCAAGGGGAATCCACCCGGCGTTTGAGCTGTTATGTAAAGAGAAGACGCAGAGCAAAACTGTTATATTCTGCGTTTGGCCAGGAGGGCGAGAAGGCCTCTCAAGTGAGCCTATAATCTCTGTATGCTGCGTGTTCAGGCATTGCTCAGTGAACTTTCATCTGCCAGGAAGACAGGAGGGAGAAGAAACACATTGGTGTGAAACTCAAGCGTTTAAAGAAAAAAGAAATACATGGTCCATCTTGTCGCTTGAAAGCCATAAGAAGCATTAATAGGGATTGTTCTTACTCTTTTTTATTTCTATAGAGTTTTGATACGTTTTAATTAATAGGAGCCCTTAAACTCTGACTGTCCACCCATTGACCTTGATTTCTCTTTCTACCATCAATTACTTTACTCATGGGGCCGCAGTGGTGCAGCGGGTAAAACCGCTAAGCTGCAGAACTTGCTGACCGGAAGGTCAGCAGTTCAAATCTGCGGGATAGGGTGAGCTCCCGCTATTAGCCCCAGCCAACCTAGCAGTTCGAAAAGATGCAAATGTCAGTAGATCAATAGGTACCGCTCCAGCGGGAAGGTAACAGCGTTCCATGCAGTCATGCCAGCCACATGACCTTAGAGGTGTCTATGGACAACGCCAGCTCTTCTGCTTAGAAATGGAGATGAGCACCAACCCCCAAAGTCAGAATCAACTAGACTTAATGTCAAGGGGAAACATTTACCTTTACCTCTGCCAACTAAGCAGTTTGTAAACATGCAAATGTGAGTAGATCAATAGATATCGCTCCAGCGGGAAGGTAACGGCATTCCACTCAATCATGCTGGCCACATGACCTTGGAGGTGTCTGCGGACAACACCGGCTCTTTGGATTAGAAATTGAGATGAGCACCAATACTCAGACTCGACTAGACTTGGTGTCAAGGGGAAACCTTTACCTTGACCTTTACTTTAGTCACAACATAATTTAGAGTGGGAACATTAGCCTCATCTCTATTAATGAGTATAGTATGTTTGCCTCTTGAGCTGATGTGTTATTTGCAAGAGTATGTTTTGTTATTCACTATTCTGAAGGTTTCAGGTTTAAGGAGTTTTAAAATATTCATAATTAAGCAAACAACAAGAAAAGTCAATCTGACAACTGAAAAGCCAAGTTCTATTTTGGAATATCGGAAGAGGATCAATTTCTGGCTAAAGCTGTCAGATTCACAAATGTCCAACCTGCAAATGCGGAAGGCTGACTGTATTTTGCATTCTTTTGTGAACCGGCTGGAGAGGGGGGTTCGGGGGGGGGGCTTCTCTCGCTTCCATCACTGTCTCAAGTGCAGTTGGTGGGGACAAGAGAGAGGGCCTTCTCGGTGGTGGCCCCCCACCTTTGGGACGCCCTCTCTAGAGAGTTAAGACAAGCTCTGTCAATAGCCTCCTTCCAAAAGGACCTGAAGACCTGGCGGTTCCAGCAGGCTTTTGATAATGATTAGACCCAGGTCTTACCTTGGCTCTGCACTCTACCCACTTCCCTGGCCCTCTTCTATCTCATTGCCGTTGACCTAGCCTAGCTTGATTATAGCTATTCAGCAGTCCCTGGAAATGAATAGCCCCACGCACTACTCTGACCATTAGTTAAGGCCTGTTTTGCACTTTACCCCCCCCCCCCCCACCAGTCCTGTGTCTCCCATTGGCCCAGCCCTCTCATATCTGTGACTCGGGCCTTGGAAATAAATAGCTCCAGGTCCTGCCCTGACCATCGTGTAGGATCATGCTTGCACTTTATCCACTCCCCTGGCCCTAGTTCCCATTGTTATATTAGCCCAGCCCTCCCATAGTTATTGAGGCCCACTCTTGAATCTTGGCCAAAGGAAACTGAACTTGCCTAATGGAATTATTACTGAATTTTAACTATGTATGGCTGTTTTATAGAGTTATGTCTTTGTTTATAATGATTACTTGTATATGTTTATGTCTGTAATTGCAATGTTTGACTTATGCTGGAAACCACCCTGAGTCCTATTGGGGAAATAGAGCGGTATACAAATAAATTATTATTATTATTATTATTATTATTATTATTATCTGGAAAAACTGACACAATATGAGGATTTAAAGATCGAACTGCAAAGATTGGCACAAGCCAATCAAAGTGGTCCCAGTGGTGAATGCCACACTGGGTGCAGTGCCTAAAGACCTTGGCCTGCATTTAAACACAATCAGCGCTGACAAAATTACCACCTGTCAGCTGCAAAAGGCCACCCTACTGGGATTGCATGCATTATTTGCTGATATATCACATAATGCTAGACACTTGAGAAGTGTCTGATGTGTGATCCAGTAAGACAACCAGCAGAGTGATCTTGTTTGCTGTGTACTAATCTTGTTGTGCTTCAAATTATTATTATTATTATTATTATTATTATTATTATTATTATTATTGCTAGCTGTCCCCTGCCACGCGTTGCTGTGGCCCAGTCTGTTGATCTGGAAAATAAAGTAATGAGAAAGTGTTGGTTTCTTATAGATTAATTTCTTTATGCTTGTGGGTAAACAGTATGTCTTGTTGTTTCTTTGTCAGTGTTGATGTGGAGAATGTCTGGTTTGCCCACCTTGGAACATACAACATATCATTGTCCTTCTTTAAGGGTCCCTTTCAAATCTATGATACTATATCTGTGTATGTGTGTGAATCATATCTATCTATCTATATCTATGGCTGGATAGGTCTTTGTCAGGAGGACTTTGATTACGTTTTCTTGCCCTGATGAAGGGAGTTGGATTGGATGGCCTTAAGTATTTTCTGTTGGTCATGGGGGTTCTGTGTGGGAAGTTTGCCCTGATTCTGTCGTTCGTGGGGTTCAGAATGCTCTTTGATTGTAGGTGAACTGTGAATCCCAGTTACTACAACTCCCAAATGTCAAGGTCTGTTTTCCCCAAACTCTACCTGTGTTCATATTTGGGTGTATTGAGTGCTTGTGCAAAGTTTGGTCCAGATCCATCACTGTTTGAGTTCACAGAGCTCTCTGGATGTAGGTGAACTACAACTCCCAAACTCAAGGTCAATGCCCACCAAACCTTCCAGTATTTTCTGTTGGTATTGGGAAGTTCTGTGTGCCAAGTTTGGTTCAATTCCATCATTGGTGGAGTTCAGAATGCTCTTTGATTGTAGGTGAACTATAAATCCCAGCAACTACAACTCCCAAATGACAAAATCATAATTTTTTGAGTGATGGTCACTCCTTGTGTTGTGAGATGTTTTGTTGCCAAATTTGGTGTGATTTCGTTCATTGGTTCTTTTGTTTTTAAGGAACTCATTATGCACAGAGCATTTTTATATAGATAGATAGATAGATAGATAGTTTATTAGAAACACAAGAAGATGGTATTTGTGGCACAAGTTCCAGTTAATCATGTGAGCAACGTTGTTATGCCTCTGCTTATACTCTGTCTGCACGATCTTCATGCAGCAGCTGAGGATATGATTCCCTGTTTCATCTGCTTCCTTGCAAAGTCCACATTTGGGAGCTGTTGTCAACTTTTCAATTCTGGCTCTGATGGCATTTGTTCTAATGACTTATTATTATTATTATTATTATTATTATTATTATTATTATTTTGGTGACCGATCCACTTTGTCTTTGTAATTTGTCCAGGTCGAGCTGAAGAGGAAATACAATGACCAGCATTCAAAAGCAAGAGGACTTTTGCCAGGGAGCCAGTGGTATGAAATCCAGGCCTATCGGGCTCTTAACCAAGCCCTTGGCAGGTAGGTTGAACTTGTTTACCTTTCAACGGTTGACTCCTAAACTCCCTTTGATTTGATAAAAGTTATGCTTAAGACATGATCTCTAAAACCTTGGCACGCTTTCCCGAACCCAGAGAGCCTTTTCGAATAGCATCCAGTATTTACCAAATTTTTAAAAACTCCATTTGTCACGCTACCCAACCCAGTGGGCTCCCTTGCTGTGCCCTAAATCACTATAATGCACAACCTTGTAAACATTTGTGACCTGCATCCTCCTCGGACTCGACGTCTTGTACACCGGCTCTGCTAAAACTGATCTGATGTTTTGCAGAATCGAGGAACAAGCCCTTGCTCAGACTGTGCCTTCCTTGCTTTCAAGTCATACTCCATGCAGGATAAAACATTCTTTTACATGTGGCTTTATTGTCACATTTAATAGGCCTGTAAAGTCTGGTATGTTCCTGGTTGTTGTG